GTGGATAGCTTGAGGCAGGAGTTCGAGACCAGTTTGGCCAACATGGTGAAACCCCATCTCTACTAAAAATACAGAATTAGCTGGCCTGGTAGCGGGTGCCTGTAATCCCATATACTAGGGAGGCTGAGACACGAGAGTCGCTTGAATCTCCAGAAGTTGCAAGGAGCTGAGATTGTGCCACTGCACTCTAGCCTGGGTGACAGAGCGAGACTATGTCTCAGAAAAAAAAAATAGATTGAATGGTATTGCTTTAGCTCATATAAAAATGGCCAAGAGAATTTCCTCTGAAAATGGAAAGTGAATTTTAAAAATTAAACGATAAATCATTGAGAGTAAAACGATACCTATATTTAAGAATTCAACGTGACATTTCCAATCTAGGGAATGTCTGTTTTAACTCCTGGGTTACCCTGAGTTTGAAGGTAATGACTGCAGGTTAGGTGCTTTGCCATTCCATAAAGTAGTCTATATCCTAAACACGATGCACTTGTGTGGTGTGGGATGAAAGGATCAGTTGACACAACTCTGGAGTTTGTGTAGATTTCATGTGATATTATATCTACTGCTTGGGTTAGTCACACAGGTTGACATATCTATTGAGTACATTCCCTCAACCACCATGTGCACACATATACACATACCCCTTCATCCACAATATTTATAAAATAATGGAAATGAAATTATTTGCTAATAAATTCTAATGAAAAGATAACTTTAATACATTTTGAAATACTGGTATAAATAACAATACATATGTACATACTTCCATACATATTCTTGATCTTTTATAGGAAAATCTGGCTCTCAATTGCTTTTACTTCATGTTTCATTTGCTCTCACTTTTAAGGAAATATCTAAAATAAATATTATCCTAATACTGCAAGTGGAAATACTGAGGCATGAATGAAGGGCCATGATAGATGTCTCTAAAACTGGTTTATTGTGACTTTGAGATAAGAAACCAAGTTTCTAATTTCTTTATTCCATGTTCTTCCCGTTGACTTACTGACTCCCCAGTGGAGTGAGAGCTTTAAATTAAGAGCTACTCGGTAGCCACCACCTTATGTGTGCCTAACACCTCAATATACTTGTATATTCAGTGTCTTCTTTCATGGAATGGTATCGTGGTATCATGGCAAATATTTAAAACTTCTATATGGCTATTTCTATGACATTTATTATTTTATCCAATGAATATATCAATCATGGATTTTAAGATCCATCCCCAAAAGAGAATTATTTACTGATGCATTGCAAAATGAAGTGGTGAATATCGTTGTTGTTACTCATATTTTGTGCCACACCTACCTGATTACCTGAATTTGTACTTGATGTACTGTCCTGCCTCTCCACTCCATGCATTATTAATTGGCCAATTAGTACACTGGCCCTCACTACATTTCTTCTTAGGCTAAAAGGATAACTAAATCAAGTTTATTTGAAGTTTATAATGTTAACACCACATATTCAAAGACCTATGAAACAGAAGTTTACCTCTTCGGTTTTTCTTTGAATAACTATTTCCACCCAATGGGGCCTGTAGAAAAAGTTGCCTTTTAAAAATTTGCATTTCATTTAGGTTTAGGAACAACATTCAATAGAGTTTTAAACTGTGAAGTTCCACATGAAGGAAATAGGTCAACTTCAGTACCAAACAAAAGATGTTAGATCAATGTGTTCCAACCTCAAAGGAATTTACTGGATATGTTTTCTTAGACTAAACTGCATAGCATAGAAGGGCCAAGTTTTCTGAACTGATTTTTGAATCATTTTATTCTATGTTATAAACAATAAGGAGGAAAAAGGAGCAATTTCATTTCATTTCATTTAAAACTAAAAAAAGAAGCACATCTACAAATACAACAGCAACAACATGGCTGGGTATGAAATGGCAGAAGGGTTTGAGGATTACCAAAGAGATTGATGCAAAATTTAAAAAATGCCAGTTGTCATAATAGGCTGCCTTACAATGGAAATAAATTAAAATCCTTATAGGTGGAGGAAACACTTACATAATCATTTGAGTGTACTTGCTTTTGAATGATCTCATGATAAAGGTCCCGAGGAGCCCACAAACATACCACAAAGGAGTCACTTTACACCAGGGCTCATGAGTAGCAACTGTTCTTAAAAGAAAACAAATTTCTGTTCAGGGAATTTGAGCCACTCCAAAGGATTTAATGACTTGCAGGGGTTTGTAGGTCAGTCACATCTGTTCTGTAATGAAATGCTTCTTCCTGTTTCTAAATTGACTAACTCTTAACCCCATTAGCCTTCATGTCTTAAAGCAAAGATTATTCCTGTTTCATTAGCTGTGCAACAGTTAGGGCCTTTATGTTTATTCCAGCAGATGGAACTCATCACAGTTTTATTCTTCTCTTTTGGTCAGCGAAAAGAAGGAAAATGCAGAAGAAAAGAGAAATAAAACCTGCATTTTGTTTGAAGGTCTAATTGGTATTCCTTGTCCACATGGACACCTGTGGAAAATAAGAATATCTACAATAATAGCTAGCACTTTTTCAAGGTGGAGAGTTCGCTGTATTTTTTCCCTTCAATAATTAGGTTTCCATTGTTCTGTTCTCTAGGTCTTCTGTGTATGCTATGACAGGGAGCTAGTCCAAGGGAAGCAGAAGCAAGACCTCCAGCTGTTTTAGAGGCTTGTTTATGCCCACAATGTAAACTTCTGATGCTTTATGCTTAGATTACACCAAAGATAGAGATGGGAGTTTTTCCCCCAAAGTCTTATTTGTGTATATAACAATTATTTTGAAAATTTTTGAAGGGAAGGAGTAAAGGAGGGCCACCTGAAATTTCAAATGAAGACAGGCAGAGAAGCTAATGCTTGGAGGGGAATTAATGAATGAGAGAATTCATTTATTTTATAAATAAAGAAAAGTTCCTAATGTTAAGGAAGAGAGAAAGACTAAGTTGGAAGACAGAGTAGCCACCTTGTACTCTGTTCCTATAGGCTTCTTTTTGCATAAATGGTGAAATGGCAGATGGCGAGAAAGAAACAAGCCCCCGTACCCGTATTTTTGTGCCACTCGATCTTACCTGTGAGTAGACAAGGTTTTGCCAGTGTTGTGCAGCAGGATAATTTCCACCCGGAAACCTTGCCAGGCTGGCCTGAAGGAGGGCTGAGCTCCTCGTGAAAGACTTTACGTCAAGCTGCAGGAATTTGTCAGGATGGTTGTTATTTGGCAAAACAGAGAGATCCATGTCTCCCTTCACCTACAGTGGAAACCAAAGGCAGGCAAAGCTGCTCCTGTCAGACTCCTCCATTATTAATGTGCCTGAGGATGCTCCGACCGGCATCTGAAACCAGGCCTCTCAGCTGCACACAGTCACTGCTCTCAAAATGATACGTCAATGCACAGGGACGAAGAAACAAAGCAGCACACTGCCCTACCTTTCTCACACACATGTACACTGAGGGTGCTTGACTGGAACAGATGGGGCTGTACTCATTAAAATTAATAGGATGACAGAATTAGATATGTGTAGCACTGAATGTCTCTTCATTCAGAGTTAGAAATAACAATTTAAGGGAAACTATTGTTTGAATAAAGGCTGCCAGAATCTCAGTGTTACAACCCGCAATGTGGAGCACAGGAAATAGTCACGTATAGAGAGACAGTGCTTGACTTTTCTCTTTGAACATTGCTGAGCTAACACAGCTGACCAGGCCCTGCCTCCGCAGCCTCACATGTGATACTCGGGATTATGTTTCTTCTCATGTTTTGACTCCCAGAGCCTCAACTCTTGTGAAACCTAACCAGGTTTAGGTTGTCAGCTTTGTTACGGGGAGGGAAATGGCAAGAATTTGCTTTATAGTTTGCTACAGTAATGTAGTGCCCCAATCTACTACCTTGACCCATTCACTATCTTAGGTCCCCTTGGTTCTGTTCCCAGCTGTATATGCTCTTAACAACGTGCTTTGGTGTTCACACGGCACGTTTGGACCGCCCAAAAAACATGGCTGCTGGATTTGGATGACACGCTCTTCTAAGTGAACCCATCTGCTGTTAAGAGAGCCAAGGTGGTGGGAGTGAGTCTGTGGGCAGCTGTAGCCAGCCAGCAAGTTGTGATGACTTTAATGGAGATATGTTCTCTCTTTACAAGGGACTCTGCTTTAGGTGACCCATACTTCTCACTGAGAAAGTATGGATTTCCATCTGGAGGGAGCAGAAACTTTCCCACTTGTGAGAAGGCAAAGGATAGATATATTAGCAGTTTCTAAAAGACATAGGTTGTCTGTTAATTTCGCATCTCTATAAACCCCTCTGACTCAGCAGGAAAGTTTCTCTTCCAGGGGCAGTGGGGTTACATGTGGAATGTATCAGCACTAGATCTCAGAAGAGTGCCATACAGCTTACAAGAGTCAGCAGCCAGGATGTTCTTGAATCAAGCAAGACACTGGAGAGTACTTACCTTCTTCACAGCAATAAACATGAGGGGGTGTGTTAAAAAAATATCTGCCCTACTTGTAGTTGTAAAACTGAATTAAGCAGTTAACTTTTTCTCTGAGAATGTTTTGGACCCAAACTCTATCACTATTTTACAATATTTAAATAGGTTTGGATGGTTTTATAAATGCATTTACTAGAGAAAGTAATAGGTACTTCATAATGACAGTTAATAACAAAACAGTGAAACCACAAGTGTTTCAAGAATCAAGTGTATTATGTGTATGTGCATATGCTTGGTACTTTCTGGATTTTCCTGCTTGCTGCCAGAATATATCTAATGAACAAATATTTCTTAGGCTGCTTGCTCTTCCTAAAAGATTCTTTAGGGAATAACACACACCTTCAAGAAGAAATTTACTTGTCTTTGGCTTTCTATATTGGCAAGCAGAAACACAGAACCTAGATCCAAATATATTTGATTAGGCTTTTTCCTTAGCCAAAGCATGAGGTAGGTGGTATGAGCCTTCAGTTTTCCTTAGGCGTCCTTCCTTTCAATACTTCCGTCATTCCCTAGTTGCCCAAGGCTTCAATACTGTCTTGTTCTACTTACAAGTTTAGTCTCCGTCTTCTCCCACCATCCTTTGTCTGCCTTTACCCCCAAACCATCAATTCTTATTTCTCATTGCTATCCCTGTAGGTAGCCTACCTGACTATCAGGAAATCAAGCTTCTACTTTTTAAAGTATAGATTCAGGGGGTAAAGGTGCAGGCTTATTACATGAGTATATTGCATAATGGTGTTGTCTAGGCTTCTAGTGAACCTATTACCCAAATAGTGAACATAGTATTAGTAGGTGGTTTTTCAGCCCTTGGCCCCCTTCCTTTCTCCCCCTTGTAAAACCCCCACTGTCTGTTGTTTCCATCTTCATATCCATGTGTAGCCATTTCCTAGCTCTCACTTATAAGTGAGAACCTGTGTCTCTGCTAATGCCAGCTCTACTGCCTAGAAACATTCCTTCCCATCCATGGCTGTCGACTACCTCCTAATACATCATTCATGGGTCATCGCCGATACCTAACCTTTTGCAAAACCTTTACATATTTTCCCTAGTAGGTATAACTTTTCTCTCCTTTGAAACCTTACAGTGATAATTTATCCTCTCATCTTCTCATCTTTTGTTTGATACTGTACTTCAAATTTTTGTTTTAAGGGCCTTTACACTAAAGGATACTTCACAAAAGAGCAGTACTATAACATGGCCTCTTCCAAATGAGTCATGTCTGAAGACCCTAATGAAGCCCCTTGATCAATAAATGATGATTGCTGTTGTCCCTTCCATTCTATTAGGACTTAACTATGATTGAAAATTGATAATCCAGTTAAACTTTTAACAAATGCCTTGGTGCTTCATTTTTAAATCTGTATTCCAACCATACTCTGTGAAAAAGTATTCCATTGCCCAAAATGACATCCTGTATAATTCTCTTCTGGTAGTTTATAGTTCATAAGCTCATCTTGAAGGTGGAGACATTCTGTTTTGTTAACTCTAACATTTTCAAAATTTATCTGATCACATAACATCTCCTTCATTGTTTTCCTATTAACTCTTAAAAAATAAGTTACTTGATCATAATTTTAAAAAATACTGGGTTAGGGTTTCTAGTGCCTTATTGTCAATAATAGCTTTGTTCAAGAGTGACATAGGGTATAAACACATATAAATAAAGAGTTACTATATTGGAAGAGCAGTCTGATGGGAATGTGGATATCTGAGACCTCTCAGCTCCTACCATGCAACTAATCATTTGCTCTTTCTTTACAGCATTTAAAAAAAAATACAGTATCATTTTCCCATGGATGAATTTGCATCCATAGTAATTGTTTCTGAACCACAAGAATTGGAAAAATACAATTAAATATGGCTTCACTAGGCAAAACTGTTTATATATTATTAGGTTGGTGCAAAAGTAATTGTGGTTTTTGCCACTAAAAGTAATTGTAAATCCTTTTGCACCAACCTAATAATTCACATTTTCCCCTTTTATTCTCTCTTTCTTTTTTTTTTGTTTCTTTCTAGCTTTCAAGATTACCAAAAGCCAGTGGAAACATCTGAAAGTATTTCCAGCTCCAGTACCTGTACAATGATCAGATGAGCTGTCGAGGTTCATCAAACTGAGATAATTTAGAAATTATTTGCATAGTTTCGATTAAAAAGCAAGACTGTGATTGGGTTATATAAATCCTGTGCCTTTCTTATGTTTTCAAAATTGGTAAATAACAGTGGCAATTAGAATAATTGAATGCACAGTATTTATGTAATAGGGAGCCTCTATACATCCAACTAACTTGTGTTTTTGGGCAAGATTCTGAGTCTCACTGAGGTTCAGTTTCCTCAGCTAAAAACGAAAGATATTAGTATCTTAAAGGTTGCTCTGAGGTTTAATGTGTATAGTGGCCACCAGAATGCTCAGCATATATTAAGCACTAAAAAAGTTTGCTGTTATTTTGAGAGTGGATATGAACATGTATTTTCACTTTAGGTATAACTGCTATAAAAGCAAAACAGGAAAAATTAAAAATTAAAGTAGTATTAACAATCTATAGTTAAAAATTCAATTATGTTTCCCAGAGTACCCCTTCCCTGTGTGATTCTAGGTGAGAACTGACCAGAAGAGGGACTTCCTTGAGATTCTGAAGGCCAAATTGAAACAGTATCCATTAACCTGCAACTCTCTTTTAGTCAGATGCAGTGACAGAGGTGTATGTGCCTGGCAGATTCCAGTTTGACTTTGCTCTCTTGAGCTCCAGACCCGTTTTTTCTTTCCAACTGTTGGTCCTATTGACCAACAGAAAAGTCAGATCACTACCAGATGTTGGCTGTGAACCTATAAAGAAGGAAAGTACACAGAGGCAACAATATCCCATAGATTTCCTTGCAGACTACCCGTTCATAGTTTTTCTTAGCTGGCTGTGCCTGCCCCTTGGATTGATTGGCTGGTGACTCCTCTAATCCTCCAACTCCTCTTACAGTCCTTCAGTTTCCCATCTCCTCTCACTGCTCTGCTGACTGAACCAACTAGAAGTGTTTCCAGGAAACAGAACTTTAAAAATAAAATTTGAAACGTGTTCTCTAGATTTAAAGACATTTAAAGACTAGATTTAAAGACATGAATGACCCTATTGCCAGGGGTAAGTGGGATTCAACAGTTATTTAAATTCTCACCTATAGTTATCCCTAGTGCCTGTATAATCTAAGTGGCTACAGAGGCAATGTGCAGAGTTATTATCTGCTGCATTAGAACCTTTTCACAAACAAAGAGAATACTGACTGTGGAGTTGATTCACTGCTTCTAAATGTGCTGAAGAACTTACAGAAAGAAAATGATAAGATGGAATTTAAAGTCACAGTTCAAGATCCAAGTTGGGAGTAGAAAAAGCTTCTGTGACTGCTCTGAAATAAAACCTTTAAATATTTTTATCTTAAAAATTGATACATAATAGTTATACCCACACATATATATACCCACATATTTCCATTTTTTTATGGGTACATAGTAATGTTTCAATGTATAGTTATCAGATCAAGGTAATTAGCATATCCAGCATCTCAAAAATACTGATCATTTCTTTCTGTTGGGAATGTTCAATATCATTTTTCTTCTAGCTGTTTGAAAAAATATATTAATGTTAACTATGGTCATCCTAGAGTGATATAGAACACTAGAGGTTATTCCTTGTAACTGGCTATAATTTTGTTTCCTTTAATAAATCTCTCCCTATCTCCCCTTTCCCCTACCATTCCCAGCCTCTGGGACTTCTTTACTCTTTATTTCTATGAGAGCAATATATTTTAGCTTCTGCATTTGAGTGAGGCATGTAGCGTTTAACTTTCTGTTTCTGGCTTATTTTATGTAACATAATGTCCTCTAGGCTCATCTGTGTTGCTGCAAATGATAGGATTTCATTCTTTTTTATGGCTGAGCTGTATTCCATTGTCTATATATACCACATTTTCTTTATGCATTCATCTGTTGATAGATACTTGGGTTGATTCCATATCTTGACTATTGTAAATAGTGCTGCAATAAGCATGGAAGCCTTTTATGGTTTCATACAAATTTTAGAATTGCCTTTTGTATTTCTGTGAAGAATGCTATTGCCACTTTGATAATGATTTCATTGAATTTGTAGATTGTTTGGGGGAGTATGGTCATTTTAACAACATTAATTTTTTCCAGTTCATGGCCATGGGATGCCTTTTCATTTGTTTGTGTCTATTGAATTTCTTTCATCAGTATTTTATAGTTTGTTTTACGTGCAGAGATTGTTTACTTCATTAGTTAAATTTATTCCCAGGTATTTTATTTCATTTTATTTTGGAGCTAATGTAAATGGGATTGCTTTCTTGATGTCTTTTCCAGGTTGTCATTGTTAGCATGTAGAAGCACTACTGATTTTTGTATGTTGATTTTGTATACTGAGATTTTACTGAATTTATCAGTTCTAAGAGTATTTAGGTTTTTCTATATACAAGATCATGTCTTCTGCAAACAGGGCCAGATTTTACTTCTTCCTTTCCAGTTTGCATGCCCTTTGTTTCTTTCTCTTCTGTAATTTCTCTGGCTGTGTTCCTCAACACTATGTTGAATAAGAGTGATGTAGGCTCCCTTGTTTATTCCCATTTTTAGATGAAAAGTTCTCAACTTTTCTCTGTTTAATATGATGTTAACTATGGATTTGACACATACAGCCTTTACTGTGTTGAGGCACCTCAACACAGCAAACCTTTTTCAGTTGTACTGCTGATTTTCCTCAGGACCTTTCCCTATCTGTCATGTCTGCTAAATCCATACTCAGACTCATGTCCTGGAAGATTCAAGGGGACCAGGTAAAAACTGTGACTGATGAGGTTGTACTTTAAGGTTCTAAAAGAATTACAAGATTTTGCAAAGTCATATAAACTGTGTGGGGATGTTTCTTAAAGGTTTTAGTTTAGGATGGAAGATATACAATCTTGGATTAGCTTGATTTTTTTTTGATATGTATGTGATAAGTAGAGATTTTGGATTTAAGGCGTTAGTTGATATGACTGAGTGTAATTCTAACAGTTTGACTGAAAACTGGACCCAATAGTGGTTCATATTGAGCAAAGTTGAGATGCCAGACTTCCTTGCTACAATGTAGTACAGAGAAAGGTATACATTCAGGAAGACTGGTTTTAATATGATAGTTATGTTCATCCACCTGTTAAATATATTCCCCAAGAGGGCCCAGAGGGCATTCCCTAATCAAGGCTTTGAAAGATACAATGGTGAAGGCAGCGTTAGAATCCTTAAAGAACTCTGTAGTGGCTATTCTCTGGAAGCCGGAGTAACATTGGGAAATGCTGCCATAGAACTGATCTTATAGAATTTAATGAGTATAATAAATTCCTCATGGCCAGGAACCAAGTGGCAGGATTTAACTTCCAAAGACCATGCATGCATGGATATTACAAAGAGCAGCAGATTCAATGTAGTAAAGGGAATTGCTATGGTCTGAATGTTGGTTCCCCCTGCCACCCCCACAAAACTAGTATGTTGGAACTTAATACCCACTGTGATAGAACTAAGAGGTAGAGCCTTAAGGACATGATTAAATCACAAGGCAGAGCTCTCATGAATGGAAGTAACACCCTTACAAAAGTCTTTAGCGAGCATCATACCCCTTCTGCCATGTCAGGACAAAACGAAGGCACCATTTATGATGAACATGTCCTTGCCAGACACCAAATCTGCTGGTGCTTGATCTTGGACTTCCCATCTACCAGAACTGTGAACAACAAATTTCTGTTTATAAATTAGCCAGTCTAAGGTACTTTGGTATAGCAGTCCAAACAGACTAACACAGGAATGATTTGACCTGCAAAACTTTTTGGTATTGGCCAATTGACCAGGGAGTCCTTAGGACTGAAATATGTGGGCATTCTACTAAAGTGTTTCTTGATTTATGTAACCATTATATCTCTATACTTAGTGAACACACGTTGCATTTGAATCACCACACCAGATAATTGCATTCCCTTTATCAGTTTTCACTGGAGAGATGATTCTCAGACCCAGAACTCCCTGAATGAAGGGGAGGTCAGTTCTCCTTGAGAATGGTTCCTCAAAAACTTCAGGAATTTCATAGCTTGGTAAAATTTCTAGGAATTCAGTGACATGTTGAGATATCCCTTCTAAGTAAAGTGCAAATTCCTGCCTCTAGCCATTCCTAAGAGAGACACATCCCATTTGGGCTGTGACATGTATAACTCATTTTGGAATGCTACTTTACACATTATTACTGAGTAACCCCAGAGACTTCCAGTTTCATGTAGTGCACAGAATAAGGAGAGAATCTATAATCAGTTCAGGTTGCAATTGAAGCTACTCTGCTAGTTAGGCAATATGGCACAGCAGACATTATGGTACTTAAAGAATCAGTGGCACATAAGGATCCTATATGGAGCTTCCAGCAGAATCCTATTGGTGAATCACCGTGAGGTCTTAATAACTTTGGAGAAAGCTGTGTCCTTTTCTACAAATAATTATTTCTGTTTTGAGAAACTATTTCTGGTTTGCAATGAAATGCTAGTAAATGTTTAATGCTTGACCACAGGTCACCAAATTCCCATGTAACTTGAACTGCTCATTATAACCTCGGTGGTGTCTGATCCACCCAGGTTACCTGGGCAGAATATCACTCCATCATCAAGGGTACAAGATTAGTCTTGAGCATACACTTAGGCATGAGTTCCTTGAATAATTGGATCTGATGGTTAAGGGTCCTACTACTGCTACATTGCCTCCACTCTCTCAACCCACACAGCCTCATAGAGACTTTATCATAATGAATTGACTGAGACAGAAAACATTTGGTCCTGGTTTACTAATGGTTCTTCACAATATGCTAGCATAACCAAGAGTAGACAGCTGTAGCTCTACAACCCTGCAAAGAGGTGCCCTGAATGATTAGTAAGAAAAATCCTCTCAGAAGGAATTCAAGCTGTGCATCTGGCTGTTTATTTTGAGCAGAAGAAAAAACAGCCAGAGGTATGGCTATGCACTAACTTATGGGCTGTGTCTAATGGGTTTGGTAGGAACTTGAAAGGAGCAAGACAAAAACTGGTAATAATGAAGTTCTGAGGAAAAAGAATGGATAGAACTCCTTGAACTGTATATACTTATATTCCATTTGAATGTTCACCAAACAGCATACTTAGGAGAAACTGATCTTGATCATCAGGTGGATAAGATGACATGTTCTTTTGATGTTGATCAGTCTCTTCCACGCACCTCTGTCCTTGACCAATACCCTCAAAAATAAAGAGAATGGTAGCAGGAGTGGAGATTATGCATGGGCTAAGCAACATGAACTTACTTTCACCAAGGTCAATCTAGCTACAGTCACTGCTGAGGGTTCCATTTAACAATAGCAGAGAAGACATTATGGTACCCTTCTATGGGAGAAGCAACCCACCACCTTGATTGTAGGTTGATTACATTAGACTCTTCTATCACAGAAGAGGCAGTAGCTTGTTCTTGCAAAAACAGTCAGTTGATCTGAAATAAATTTGCTTTCCCAGTTTGTAATGCTCCTGCCAAAATGCCATCTGTGAACTAAACAAATGTCTCACTCACTGTTAGGGTATTTCATTCAATATTGTTTTTGTTCAAGGAACTTATGTGATAGCAAATAAAGTGTGGACAGGGGCCCCCTGTCATGTAAATCTCTCATAGTACCGTGCTCTCCATCACCCTGAAGCAGATGGCCTAACAGAATGATATGTCTTTTTAAGAAAAGTTTAGTCTCCTACCAGGTGGATGAAAACACTTTGGAGGTCTGAGATAATGTTCTCTAAGACGTATATTTTCTGAATTATCAACCAATACATGGTGCTATTTCTACCTAGATTTATGGATTCAGGAGTCAAGGGATGGAAGTTACTATTTCATTTTTTCCTTCTCCCATTCATCTACTATCTCACATAAAATTTGTTGATATTGGTTAACCCTATATCTCAGCAATTAAATTAAAGGATTTACATAGGAAGGGTCAATCTAGGAAAAAATATGACCTTGATATTAAAACACATTTATTAAAATCAGGGTGAAAAATATTAATGAGAGAAATGTAAAGAACTGTGAAGCTTTTGAGGTTTTACCCTACTTGCAACTTATCAAGTTAGCCTATTATGATTTCAGGGCAGAAGACATGAGACTCCTGCATTAGAGACAAACGACTTCGTTACTCACAGCAATAGTAGCCAGGGAATCCGCTTTTCCTGTACTGGCTCCTTGAGTCCCATTTCTCATAGGGTGACATGAAGAGAGCCAGGCGACGTCAGCACATGCATTGGATTGTCTTATAGTAAAGAAACCCCAATTTTAGGGAACCTGAAACTTTTATAATGAGAAGCATGTTTGCCCTTTGCTCCCAAGAGAGATACTATCCTCCAAGGCAGTTCACTATACAAACATCCTCTAGAAGATACTCCAGAACAAAAGTAGACAGTACCTTTGTCGGTCAGACATGCGGATATGTGACAAGTCTATGAAGAATTGTCTCTCAATGGCAAGTTTTACATATTTTATTGAAAAAATCTAAGAAATCATGTGAATCATGTACAATATTTTCTCACAAGAAAAATTTTAAGCTGGCTTTTGAACGTTTCACATAACTGTAAAACTTTTTAATTTTTAAAAGGAAGAAAAACACAATGAAACTACCACAGTATTATATGCTTTCTGTTTTTCCTTGTTCCTAGGGAAAAGGCTGAGAAATATTAGTAAATTTTCTAATTATGATTCGTGAGGCTAAATACTATACTCTAATAAATCTGCTAAAAAGATACCGGGAAATGGGTGGATCAATGTTTTCTTTGTTAAAAATATTTTTTAAAAAGCTAAAATCTAGTGATAACATGTTAAAATAATACACATTTTTGTAAGATGTTACCATTTCTAACGATTTCTCTACACTATATCAACAGTGCAATTGTGATTCAGTGTAAATCATTACAGTGTTTCATTGTTACAATACTTGTGTTCAAGTACATGTTCATGAACATGATCAAAGTCTCTATTTTGACTTTTCCTTTCCATATCAAAATAAGGTTATAATTACAGCAGAATTTTTCCTATGGATGTCTATAAATCTCAACCAAATTCATAATACATTCTCTAAAAACCTGTTCAACACCATGAGGTTCATTATGTTTACACATCTCCTGCAGATAACAGAAAATGGGCTAATTCTGCAGCAGGACACCAAAAAACAAAAATAGTTTCTCTTCATATATACCTGAACTATTATGCTAAGTCAGTATACATTCTGGATAATTCAATGTTATTGGTGGGGAGAGAGGAGCACCTTAGGGATAGCCCTAACAAAACAACAAAACATTGTTTTAGGTATAATGATCTATTTTTTTTCCTTTTTCTTTTCATTATATTACTGGATCCAACTAATTCATTCATATAAAATTATTTATGAAGCCATATAGTAGAAATCAAAATGTTTGTGTAACCAAAACAAGCACCACATTAGATGTTTGGCAGGCAAAAAAATAAATTAATTTGATTAAATTATATGTAATCTGATAATATTTGGTCTGAAAAACATGCTAGTGTGTGTGTTTATAAATAATGTAATTGCAACGAGCTGTGATCCAGCCAGCCTGCTAGAGGTCAACTCTTCTGCTGCAGCTTTTGGGCATAGAAGTCCCTGCATGTTTCACAGCAGCGCTGATACCACCGCATGTCCTGACATAGGTTCTTTTCACGGATCACTCGGCAGTACACTGGCCACTGATCTCCCAGGCACTTGAAAGTCAGAGCAGCTGTGAAATAGAACATAGTGAATTCAGCCCATGCAGATATCATATATGTCAGTAAAAACAAACTTCAAGCGTTTAAATGGGGGCAGATTTTGTACACTCTCTTTGATTCATTTATATTACCTTCTGGAATTTAAGCAACAAAGAGATATACACACACACACCTCCTATGATTAAAAAGTAAAGAATGAATAATATTTTTACTTATAAATGTTTTTAGGCTTATTAAAGATATAATTCCCAGGTTCAATGTGTTGTACTTTTAAGCTTCAGTTTCATAGCTTTCATTTAAGCTTCTTTTGAATTTTAGTAGAGAAAATTAAAAAGAAAAATAAATGTGCTCAATATATCTACCTTTATGGGAATACAAATTAATAACTACTATTATTGAGGTTGAAATTACAAGGAAACAGCAAAGCAAAAATATGCTCACAGTTATTTCATATTCCTAGTTTCCCCAGACAACAGTCACATCTAAATGGATTATCTGGAGCTGTGATTTCAGGGTTCTATAAAAATCAACGCACATCATCACAAGTGACTGAGATTTATAGCAATAGTTGAAGTGTTTGAAATGAGAACTTGGTATAGAATATTTGGTCATGTAGACTTGGCCTCCCTTTTTGTAAAACAATAGTGTGTTCTGGAATGCATAATGAAAGTCACTCCTGCTACAATTATTTCTTTTGCATATGGGAATGAATTGTATTCTAACATAATTATTCCATTTTTAAAGACCTTAGATTTTCCTAACCATTGTGCTTCTGTATTTTGGGGTACACCTTCAAGGAATAATAAATAGAGAAAATGCAATTTTAATAAAATTTTCTTTTAATCCATTATTTTCTGCCACATAATATTTCAAGGACTTGTTGGAGAAAGGAAATATACTGTAAAGTAATTGTTGGAGAAAGGAATTATATTGCTATTGAATAAATGTATTGAGTACATCTGCTCTAGAGTTGCTTAACTTTTTGTCTTAATCAGTGTTATTCACCTTGAACTGATTATTTCTTAGAAATGTTAGTTAATTATTTGGCCCCCAAAAGAGAATTTTTGTATTTCCATGAAGAAACCAAGTTTTCTCATTTGACTGAATCTTATGCCTGGAAAAATACATATGACAATTTATCTTCTTACATTTTGGTAATATTATTTTGTATGATTCAAATTGTTCCCCTGGAGATTATATGCACAGGTTAAAACCAAAGGTATTAAACATAAATTAACCCACTGACAATCAGGCAGGAGTGCTGTTAAAAGCTACTAAGTCACAGATATAAATGCTAAATCATTCATTAGTATTTGTTATGCAAGTGTAGGCTCTATCTACTTAAAATATATACTCTAATTCTCGATTATGGTTTAGATTAAATAACAGAAATTGAGGAAATATATGAAGGTATTTTGTAACATAAAACAATGTAAACATCAATATAGTCAGTACTACTAGAATTTGTTTTTTTATTTAGTATCATATTCTCAAAACTTAAAAAGAAAATAGAACTTCTTGTTTAATGGTGTAGATCCATGCACCCATTCTTCTTGAAAGACAGTTTTTAGTCTATGTCCCTCCAAAGAATAATTTGTACCCAGATAACAAGGAAGGCTATAAATCATGGAGAAATCTAAGGCTTATACTACAATCTCATCTTTCTGCGGATATTAACTTAATTGATAGTTCTGCCATGGGATTGATCTGAGTTTTGGTTACAAAAAGACCTGGGGTGGTGTGGCATTATTATTTCCTGGATCTGGCTCTGATTGGACAACTTTGGGAATGAAAGCGGTTTAAGTTTTTAGGACTTTTTTTTTACTCACCTGACCATTTGGACAAAATCATATTTAAATGGATCCAATTTAGTCCAAACCAAAATAATCAGTATAGGTTTACAACTATCAAGGTTTAAAGTAATGTACAAAATACAAGAAGCCATAAGCATTTCTATGTTTCTCAAAAACATCTTTTTTGTTTTGTCTGCTTACCCAGTCTGGGTGATGTTATGGTATTTACATTAATTTTCTCATTGCAGGGTTGAAGGTGGCATGGCCTGTATGCTGCAGGTTTTTCTGAGGAAAAACATTCATTTCCATGTCTTCCTGTGATCTTATGCATGCATTGGATAACACGGGACTGCATTCCTTTGCCACAGGTAATTGAGCACTAGGAGAAATACAAGATTTGTTAAGGTTCTTTTTTATTTTTATTTTTTGCTGTTATTATTTTCTAGGACGTGGCAACCTTCTCGAAATGTTTCGTAAAATTAAACATGAGCTGCAGCATCGACAGTCAAGGCAAAACATGGGTCAGAAACACTGATGCTCATAAATTGGGCACAATGCTGTTGAAAACCTCTGGCTGATACTAAGACAGAGTTTTGGGTAATGAAAAGGACATGAGAGTAAAGAAGGTTAAAGGAAAGGGTACAGTATGACTTGAAGAGAAAGAGAGTGAATGACATCAATAATGCTTGAGCAGACAGCTTTCAAAGGTCTAATACATGGTTTGCAAACAAATAATTGATTCATGATTACTTAATTTAATAATTGACGTTCAGAAGTTAGCACATGTCTACTTTTAGAGCTGGATCCTTGTTACAGTCTTTAAATATGCTCATCTGCCTTATTTTTTCTGGCCTTAAAATGTTTATAAATAATATCAAGATGTCTTAGCTAGATACGTTATTAAAGTAATTGCTTTTTCTTGGTAGATTAGGTGATGGTAGAATTATGCTAATAAAAATGTTTGATAATCTGAATTTCCCAGGTAAAAGGTACTTTTTTTCTCTTTTTTATTTTTATCATTTAAACTTTTTTATTTTTATAGATTCGGGGGATGGATATATAGCAAAATGGTAAGGTTTGGGCTTCTAGTATACTCATCAGCCAGATAGTGAACATTGTACCCAATATGTAAATATTCAACTCTCTCTGCTTTTGGAGACCTCAGTGTCTATTATCTCTCTCTCTCTCTATGTCCATGTGGGCCCACTTACAAGTGAGAACATGAAATATTTGATTTTCTGTTTCTGAGTTATTTCACTTAGGATAATGGCCTCCAGCTCCATTCACATTGCTGTAAAAGACATAATTTCATTCTTTTTTGGCTGCATATTATTACACACACACACACACACACACACCTGCTTTATCCAGTTATCAAACACATTGATTGATTTCATAACTTTGCTAATATGAATAGTGCTGTGATAAACATATGACTACACGTGTCTTTTTGATACAAGGACTTGTTTCCTTTGCATAGATACTCAATGGCGGGACTGCTGAGTCAAATGGTAGTTCTATTTTTAGGTCTTTGAGAACCTTCCGTACTGTTTTCTATAGTGGTTGTATTTATTTACATTTTCACCAATAATGGATAAGTATTCCCTTTTCTCTGCATCCTCACCAACATCTGTTCTTTTTTGTCTTTTTAATAGTAGCCATGCTGACTGGTATGAGATGGTATCTCATTTTGGTTTTAATTTGCATTTCTTGGATGATTAATGATGTTGAGCATTTTTTTATATGTTTGTGAGCTGCCTGTGTGTTTCTTCTGAGGAATGTGTGTTCATGTCCTTTGCCAATATTTTAATGGGGCTACTTGTTTTTTGTTTGTTGAGTTGTCTCTTGCAGATTCTGAGTATTAGTCCTTGTCAGATGCATAGGTTGAAAATATTTTCTCCTATTCAGTTAGTTTTCTGTATATTCTTGATTATTTCTTTTGCTGTGCAGAAGCTCTTTCGTTTAATTAAGTCCCATTTGTGTCTTCGTTTTTGTTGCATTTGCTTTTAAGGTCTTACTCATAAACTCCTTGCTTATGCCAATGTCCAAAAGCATTTTCTTTGGTTTTCTTCTAGGATTTTAAGTTTCAGGTCTTATGTTCAAGTCTTTAATCCACCTTGAGTAAATTTTTGTATCTGGTGAGCAATAGGGGTCCAATTTCATTGCTCTGCATATGGCTATCCAATTTTTCCAGCATCATTTATTAAATAGGGTTGTCCTTTCCTCATTGCATTTTTTTGTTGACTCTGTTGAAGATCAGTTGGTTATAGGTATGTGGTTTTGTTTCTGAGTTCTTTTTTCTGTGCCCTTGATCTGTGTATCTATATTTGTGCCAGTACTATGCTATTTTGGTTACTATAGCCTTGTAGCATAAAGTCGGGTAATGTGATGGCTCCAGCTTTGTTTTTCACTTAGGATTGCTTCGGCTATTCAGGCTATTTTAGGATTCTATATGAATTTCAGCATTTTTTTCCTAATTCTGTGAAAAATGACACTGATAATTTGATAGGATTTGTGCTGAATCTCTAGATTGCTTTGGGTAGTATGGTCATTTTAATGATATTGATTCTTATAATCCATGAGCATGGGATGTTCTTCCTTTTGTTTGTGTCATTTATTTATTTCATCAGTATTTTGCAGTTCTCCTTGCAGAGGTCTTTCACCTTCTTAGTTAAATGTTTTCCTAAGTAATTCTTTTGTGTGTGTGGTTATTGTAAATGGGACAGTCTTCTTGATTTCATTCTCAGTTTGAATGTTATTGGTGTATAGACATGCTTCTACTTTGATTTTGCATCTTGAAACTTCACTGATGCCATTTATCAAGTCTAGGAGTCTTTTGAAGGAGTCTTTTAGAGTTTGCTAGGTATACAATCTTATTATCAGCAAACACAGATAATTTGACTTCCCCTTTTAAAATTTGGATGTTTTATTTCTTTCTCTTGCCTGATTGCTCTGGCTAGGACTTCTAGTACTATGCTGAGAGGTGGTGAGTAGGTAACCTTATATTGTTCCAGTTTTGGGGAAATGCATTCAGCTTTTTCCCATTCAGTATGATGTTGGCCGTGGGTATGTCATATATGGCTTTTATTAATCAAGTGCACTTTTAACCGATTTCTTGCATTTCAACTAAATGTTATTTTCATTCGTAAAATATTTTGTAAAGAACATATTTGATGTGTAACAGTCTTTTACTAGGGAAATCTCTTGGTTTTATACATATATCACTAAATTTGTTTTTTGACACAAATAGTCTCATGCTAGTTTGTCTGAGAAAACACCATTATTTTATGGTATCAAAACTATATGTAAGAGGGGAAATGTGCTTGTGTTTCTGAAAATAATGATTTATTTACTAGCCATATTATTTTCTGTGTAAAAATATGTAGCAATATTTTGCTTAAAGGGTTTATTAATACAATTATAATTATTTAAATAAATTATCTTGGTGTATTCTGTTCTGATTACAAATTGATAAATATTTTGATTGTCATCTTTCAAATATACAGACATACCATTTTTAATACTTTTTTTCCTTTGTATTTTCCTAAGTTACTATTAGTATTGCATTCTGTTTGTTATCAGTTCTTCCTTTATGATCATCCTTGGGCTCATCTCTTTTCTTATTTTCCTTAGCAAAGGAAGCATTCTGCACAAATCCTCATTACCTCAAATCTAATGTACTATTGTTTGATTTGTTTTTAGTCCTCAGCCTGCCAATGAATGTCACATATTAATTGAAAATGCATTCTTTCAAAATTTATTTACATATATATGCTCCTTGGACAAAAATCTTTGGTTACTGAGTTTACCATTGCCTGAAAGATAAAGCCCAGTATCTTGCTATATCCAGGCTGGCATGTATTTACCTCTTTAACTTTATATTCAACTCCACCCTATTAAAAATAATTTGTTATTTTATAAACTAATTATTTCCATGCAATTTCTATTTCTACCTCTACAACTGTGCTCAGAATAATACTCCTTTCCTAAATGCCATGCCGTTTTACAAAACTGTATCTCAGACTGGGTGTGGTGGCTCACACGTGTAATTCCAGCACTTTGGGAGGCCGAGGCGGGCAGTCACTTGAGGCCAGGAGTTCTAGACCAGCCTGTCCAATATGGAAAAACCCCATCTCTACTAAAAATACAAAAATTAAGTAGGTGTGGTGCTGCAGGCCTGTAATTCTAGCTACTGGGGAGGATGAGACAGAATTGCTTGAATCCAAGAGGCGGAGGTTGCAGTGAGCCAAGATCATGCCACTGCATTCCAGCCCGGGTGAACGAGTGAGACTCTATCTCAAACAAAACAAAACAAAACTAAAAACAAAACAAAACGACAACAAAAAAACCAAAACTATCTCAAATCCAGCATCTCCATGAAAGCTTCCACATTATCCCAACTACCTATGCATATTTATGCAATATTTATAAATTAAACCATATATTCATATGTTGAGTCTACACTTCAGAATCATAGGAGAGATTTTTCTTTAAAGACAATGATGGATTTTAAGACATAGAATTTCTTAGTCAATAAATTCATGTGAGATCTGGGAATCTGCATTTTTAGTAAAAGTATTTAGGTGATTATGCTGTGCAGTCTGAGTTTGGAAATTACTGGCTAAAAGTACATGTTCTGTATTTAGCATAGACCCTTTATATTGCTTCTTATCTGTAAGTAGTACCATATAATTCATCTAGTTTGTCGCCTCAGCTGCATGGTAAATTATGCTAGAGTTGTTCGTATGTCATGTTCAATAATGAAGCCTATATTTCTGGTATGACAATAGTTTACTGCAGAATAATGGAATTTGATGTGCATGTCATTAACATGAATCTATAGATAACTTAGCTTTCTAAGTTTTACTCTGTATATATTTCCACAAAATATTATCTTTCTATCTGATAAATTCTTAGCTTTCTGCAAATAGCAGATCAAAGAACAACAAACTATGATGTCATGTCCTTTAAACCTGACTTTTTCTCTTAAACTTCTACATGATCTGAATATTTCCAGTTCAGTGTAAGCTTTATTATAATTTCCAGCTATTATAGGAGGACTCTTTGACATGGTCTTTCTCCTTTAAAAGCCTTAATCTCAATACCACTCTATACAATGGATATAACCATATAAATAAAGACATGCTTAGAAAAGTATTTTCAGGACAATGAAATACAGTTTAACTAAAACTTTTAAGGGATTAATATTACATAGAACAAAATGCTGTTCTAGTATCTATTCCTAAAAGTTCTGTAAATCTTGAAAAAAATCACAATATTTGAGAAACCAAAAGAACAATAGAAGCCTTAGAAAGATGAAATCACTCTGATGTGATAAAGAAGGTTCTCAATATTTCAAAGAGGCCCATAATTAGTCAG